TCAGCGCTCTGAAATGATACCATTGTATCGTGTGAAATGCCGGGACGACTGGCTGCCCTATTCCCATAAGGCTCTTATGTGTCTAAAAACGCAAGGAAAGCTTTCAGTGCTTAAGCAAGCAAGCAAATGTAACCCCTGGGTTACAGAAACCATGTGAGGGGCAGAGGATGTTTAATGGGAAGCAGCGAGCCCCGGGCTCACGTTGCAGAGCAGCTAGCACAGGTCCTAGAGGAACCAGCATCCCTCTCTGTTTATTTTGGTCTCCTCCAGAGCTCTGTGCATAGAGGTTTCCTTGTGTAAAGCATCCCCTCGCCTGTTACTTGGGGTGTTCTGTTTAAAAGGAAGAGGGAAGAAAGAAGGAGCAGATGTTGCTCTGCTGGCTGCCCCTTCCCACGTGCTGCCTGGAGCTGTGTCATTTCTGGTTCCCAGTGCCTGTAGGGACATGAGGAGCTTATGGGCAGGAGCTGTGCAGCCCGTTGTGTCCCTTGGGAGCCCTGTGTCCAGGATCTTTCCCCCTGGAGAAGAATTAAAGATGTGTCTGTGCCTCCTTGGGAACATCTTGGCTGCTGCATGCGCTGCTGGGACTTGACCCAGACCTCTGTCCTAGTCTGCAAGATCCCCAAAGAGCAGCTCTGACCGCTGGTGCCTGACCACAGCGTGACCGGGAGGGCACAGTGTGAGCATCCCCAGTGCTGCAGCACAGTGCACAGACTGACAGACAAGCACTTTGCTGCTTCCGTGACCCTGAGCTTGCTCAAGGAGTGCTCAAGCCCAGGGCGAGGGTGTGAGTTTGGGTATTTCTTGCCCATGAGCATCCCAGCAGCAGGTCGAGGCGCTGCTCAGGGCTGGGACGTGGCCGTGCTTTTCCAGAAAGGAGCTTTGAGTGAGGAGAAAGCGCAGGCAGCAAAAGGAAATCCTGACTTTGGAAATACAGATTTGCTTTCTTACATGTGTCAAAACATTTTCTGAGGATAAAATTACTTTCCAAAGCACTGAAGGCCTCTGCACATGCATGTGTTGGCATTCGCTTTGGTAAAGACTTGGCGGCTGAGTTTGGGGCCAGGGACACAGAGCTTCTGCAGTTGCCAGCAGAGCCCCACAGCAGGTGCTGCCCACACCACCCCGCATGCAAGGATTAGTGCTGGGGCTGCTTGGATCTGAGCTGCCAGCTGTCCCTGTAGCACGCTGCTTCCTCACAAAGGGGTTGGCAGCAAGTGCTTTGCAACCAGGGCATGGGGTCATGGGTAGGGTTGGGTTTGCATCCAAAAGGAATGATAAAATCATAGAATGGCCTGGATTGAAAAGGTCCACAGTGCTCATCCAGTTCCAACCCCCTGCTATGTGCAGGGTCACCAGCTACCAGACCAGGCTGCCCAGAGCCACATCCAGCCTGGCCTTGAATGCCTCCAGGGATGAGGCATCCACAACCTCATTGGGCAACCTATTCCAGTGCGTTACCACCCTCCGTGTGAGAAACTTCCTCCTAAGGTCTCAGGCACCTCATTTTAGGGGATTTTTGGCTCGTGGAGCTGCTGCCTTCCAGTGGATTGAGTCATGAGTTGCCTGAATTGGGTTGGAATTGGTTAAAAGGAAATGCGTGGAAATGGCAACACCTCTGTGTGTGTACTCCCCGCAGTGCAGGCACCCCGAGAGGAAGAGGAGGAAGGGCGATGCTGTGCGCTGACTGCTTCCACCTCCGCTGCCTCCAGCACCAGCTGGCAGGAGGATGGTGGGGCTGGGGAGACCCTGCAAGCACCAAAAGTCCCCTGGAAGGTGCCTTAGCAGGGACGGGCCCCTGCAGTCCAGCTCCCTGCTCTGCCCCGGCTGTGGGGATGTGGCAATGGAGCCTCAGAGAGATCTGGGCACTGCCAACGGGCCCCAGCACTGCACGGTGCTGGCCTTGGGCTCCTGTTGTTTTCGTTAATAGGCCCGTTCCATGCAGGAAGCCGGGAGGAGGGTCCTGTGGAGCAGAGGTTGTTTGCTTTCCTTTCTTAGCTCTGAGCAGGACGGGCTATTTTTAAGCTTTTCTCTTTTTTCAAGAGCTGTTTCGCTTCTTATTTCTGCATAAGGAGCAGGAGTGAGGTGATGCTGAGCAGGACAGCCCTGGCCACGCTGGGGGCTGTTGTCAGTGGAGATGGCATCCCAGAACCAGCTGTGCGTTGAGGGTCACCTGTGCTCAGAAATGGGAGCACAGCCCTCTGGGTCAGGCTGGACACAGAGCAGTGACCAAACTTGCTGGAGGTCAACCCAGGCACCAACATCCCTATGCAACCAGCAGCAGGAGATTGGATGTCCCATCCCAAGAGCTGCAGATGGGCAAGCTTTCATGCTGTCCTCAGGCAGGTCAGGGTCTCCTTTGCAGAAGGAACACCACGGGGGCCCAGGGCTCATTTTGCTCTCAGAGGTTGTCCAAGCCATTTCCAGCCCTAATGAGGAGTGGTTGCTTTCCCAGCACCCCAGTACTCCATTGCCATGCAGTGTGGGCATAGGAAATGATGTTTGATGGCTTATCATAGATTCATTAAAGTTGGAAAAGACCTCTAAGATCATCGAGTCTGACCCTAGCCCATCCCCATGTGGCCACTAACCATGTCCCTCAGTGCCACATCTCCATGGTTGTTGAACACCTCCAGGGATGGTGACTTCACTGGGCAGCCTTCTGTGACCCTAATCACAGCTTTGCAGCTCTTCCTTAGACTTTCTGAACCCTTTTTGTGTCTGGGCTTTGACCTTCTTTTCATTTCTGCAGTGGGGCCCAGAAACACTTGGAGAAAAGCCATTTCTGGGTGTTGTATGCAGCCCAGCCCTCCGATAAAGGCAGGGGATGGCTGTATTCCAGGAGCTGTGCTGAGGGCCGTGGGCAAGATTGCCTTGGGCTTGGGGCACTTTTAGGGGCTTGATGTCAACAGAAGAGACTGTGTTCCCCAATGACGATCACTAGTGCCATCTTTGCTTTTGGTGATAGCAAATGGACAGAAAGGAGCTGACATGGCAGAGGTGATTCACAGAGAAGCAGCTGTTTGACTTGGTAACAAGCTTTTGATACAAAAAGAAATCCCCAAAACACACGGCATAGGGACATTTCCAGAGGGGCGTTTGCAAAGAAAAGAAGATCGCCAATATTTCCTTTGCTCTCAGGTTCCTTGAGAGCATTTACTTTAACTGTCTGTTCCTGCAGACGCATCTGTCATTAGGTAATTAGGCTTCTTTATTGAAGGAAATAAAAAGGAACTGAATAGGCTGGCAGGAGGAGTGATGAGCAGGTTTTAATTGCCCACCATGGACAGAACTGTGATCACAGCCATCAGGGAGCTGGTGGTGTGTGGCTGTGCTCCATCCCCTGTCAATGTCCCCTTCCTGCAAAACTCAGCCTAGGCTGGCCTTCCACGTTTTTTGGAAGCTGGGACTGGGGAGAAGAATGTTTGAAGTGTTATTAGGGATGTGACAGAGAAAGGAAGTGGTGGAGAACTCTTCTGGTGAGCCCGGGCTTGGTGCTGGAATGCTGTGGACCTGCCAGATTAAATCTCAGCTTGGGAACTATTTAAAATTGATTCATTGTTCTTGGAGTGTGATAACTGAGAGTTAGATGCAGATCTCTGCTTCCTCCTGAATACATGGAAGTGCAGGACGAGGCATTGGCACAGGCTGCCCAGGGAGGTGGTGGAGTCACCGTCCCTGGAGGTGTTCAAGAACCATAGAAATGTGGTACTTAGGGACATGGTTTAGAGGTTGTGGTGGGGATCGGGTCAACAGTTGGACTGGGACTCTGTGCCCAGGTGTTGCTCACCAGGGAGATATAAATGAGTTGGCTGGGTGCCACCCCCCAGTGGCAGCACGGGGTTGTCGTGCTCAGCTTGCCTGCGCGTCGTGTCCCTGACACAGCCTGTCCCAGGCACACCGTTGCTCCCCAGCACTTCTCCTGCTGGAGACTGAACAGTGTTTTTGGGTATTCCCCCTGAAAAGGCAAAACAGCCCTGAGCTGCTTGTGTCAGCAGCTGTGATCACGATCTGCTGGTGAGGCTGAGCCGCAGCGGCTGCCACGTGGACGCTTCCCTGCCCTTCCCTGCCGGCAGCTGCAGCAGATGGTTCCCATTGCTGAGTACAGGAGCTGCTCTGCAGCACCCCGGTGTGTGCCAGGGGCTCTTGGCTGCAGGACAAGGGGTAACCAGGGGTGCCTGGAGGGAAGGCTGTGCTCAAGTCTCCCTGACATTTCTGGTGTCTTGTGTGATCTCAGTGTGGCTTTCAAAGACTGGAGCTCGCCCACAGTGTGCTGTTAGAGGAAAGGATGGGTGGGCTCATTGTGTTGAGTGGCGCAACCCAGCTCAGTCTTCCAGGGGAGTGTACAGTGGGGCAGGGAGCATTGCCTGGCGGATGGAGGCTGCCCTTGGTGATGCTCTGTCCCCTTTGTCAGGCTGTGGCTCGGAGCCAGCAAGCTGACACTGTTGTCCATCAGATTTCCTTGGAAAGATTCCTGGCTGTAGAATCCAGGCCTCCCAGCTTGCTCCTTCCTGCACTGGGGGGTCTCATGTTATTGTTTTTCAGCACTTTGGCTTGAATGATCTCTAAGAACTGTTTTTAAGGATATGAGCTTTTGTGACTGCCACCTTTGGTTTTTTTGCAGCGTTATTTGGGTTCTCTCTTCTGAGATTTTCACTTTCCAGATTTGGATTTGGATGGCAGCAGTCAGTGGGCAGCTGGTGTTTATCCTTTGGGTGGGAAAGGCGAAGGGAAGCGTTTGGAGTGTTTGGTACTGTACTCCACTGGGCTGGGTGCTGCTCCGGCTTTCTGGGGCTGCATTTCCTGCTTCATGTTCCAGCTTCATTTCTGGGTTTGTTGTTTCTCTGTCCCTCTGTCCCCCACGTGTTAAATGGGATTGTGAGTCCTCATGGCAGAGTGGAGGAGCGGTAATGGGGTCACATTACCGGAGGTTTCTGGAAGCGTCTCTTGAGATGCTCAGATGGATAGTAACTAAATTCTGAATTCCTCTTAATTTCTTTCAGCTCTGAAAAGATCTTTTGAGGTCGAGGAGGTAGATCAGTCTTCAAATTCCTCCACCCCACAAAGACGGACCCCGAACCCTCTCCTCAGGTCCACCGTGTCCAGCTCCACGCAGAAGTTTCAGGAACTCGGTGCCAGGAACTCGGAGCCATCTGCCAGACATGTAGACCCCACAGCCCAGCGATCCCCCAAGGCCCCTCTGAGGAGAGTGGAGCACTCTGGACCCAAACTGCCAGAGCCGGTGTCCAGAAGAACAGAAATCTCCATTGACATCTCATCCAAGCAGGTGGAGAACTCCACTTCGGGGTTGTCGAGGTTTGGCCTCAAAAGAGCAGATGTGCTGGGGCACAAAGCCCCGGAGCCAACCCCACGCAGGACTGAGATCACGCTCGGCAAACCCCAGGAGCCGGGACTGCGGCGGGCGGACGCCCCGGCATCGAAGATCCCCGAGATGCCCCAGCGCAGAGCGGAGCCGCCCAGCGCTCCCATGCCCGACGTGGCCACCAAGCGCGTGGAAATCCAGGTAGCCAAGGCTGCCGAGGTGCCAGCCCCGCTGGCACGGCAAGTAGAGAGCATGGAGCACGTGCCGGCCCCACAGCCTCCCCAGGCAGAGCCAAAGCCGCAGCCGGTGCTGATGGAGAGCCCACCAAAGAGAGAAGGTGAGTACGGCCGCACTGTGGGTTGGGAGCTTGGAGCTTCCAGCTCGAGCAGTGATGGCTTTCGGGGCTGAGCTTGCATCTTGTCTCGTGTGTCTACATACATGGCTGTTAGACTTGGTTTTATGTTGGCTGAAAGAGCTGTCAGTTGGAATGAGACGTGCTATCAAGCTTATAAGAAATAAAATGAGCAAATGCCAAAAGCTTGGGTGCCTGCGGAAGAAGACACTTCTGCCAGCACAGACCCGCCTGCCTGTGCAGCATCTCAGAAAGCCTCTGACATGCTGGAAAATGTGATGGTTGTGGAGGTGTTGTTGTGATGGGTTGTTGTTTAATGTTGTTGTTTATAGTTGTGGGGCAGAAACAGCCTCTTCATTAGCAGGAGTCAGGGTTTTTCTTTTTTCCTGCTGGTTGCTGGAGCCAAAGTCTAATAACATCATGGATCAGAGCCAGTATTAAACTGGAGCCCTGCCTTCTATTAGCTGCATCTTGTTTTCGATTAATCCCGTATTAGACATGAAAGCCAGCTTCCCTCCCCCACTGGCCGTCATTTACCCTCCTTAATGTTTTAGAGATTTTTCTCTTTTAGCCTTTAATTATGTTTCCATTCCTCATCACGTGCTTGCTCTTTCCTCTGCGGAGCTTTGATGGGGAGTAGTGCCAGGGTGAGACCCTGCGAGCTCCATGTCTGCCCTGGGGTCCGGCTCCTGTGTTCTTGGATCCCATCCCAAGCCTTGCCCTGCCATGTGCCCCAGCTCTATTGCTGCTGCATGCAGCCAGTCTCAGATTGGTCCTACCCAGAAAATGCTGCGAGGTTCAAATGGGCCCTGCTGCTGGGGTTTGGGGTTTTGGTATGTATGTGCAGTCTGGAAGCAGACAAGGTGTCCACGCTGAAGCTGATGTTAGACCTGTAAGACAGGGGTGGTTTTCTCTGACTGTGAGCATAGATGGAGAGAATGAAAGGCTCCAGTAGGCAGCAGGCTGGTGCAGCTCCATCTGGGCATGGCTGGCGATCAGCAGTGGGCTCGACCGTGGGCTCAGCGGGGGCCTCTCTACTGGGTTTTATCCCCAAAAGTAATGAGGAAGTTGCCAAGGGCTCTGTTGTGCCCTGTGCCTGACCTCACCCTGCTGAGTTTGGGCTGCTGTGAGCTCCTCAAGCTCTGAATGTCAGGCAGCTGGGCACTTTAAGAGCAGAAGAATCTGAGCTGCTCAACGCCCCAGCTGCACAGGGGGGAAAGGGAGGGCTCTCTGCATCAAAAAGGACTCCAGAAACTCAGGACAGCTGCTGGGGATGGGTTTTAGCAAAGAGCCCGGCTGTCTGGGGTCTGCCTTACAGAGCAGGACAGGCTGGTGCTGGTACAAAAGGAGCTTTCAGTCTGGGTACATCCGAAAAGAGCCAGGAAGAGAGGCTAAAGGAGCAGGAAGGGCTCTGGCTCCTTCTGCCTGCTGGTCAGCTCAGGCACACGCCCAGACCTCGTGGCCATTGCTCACCAGGCAGGGGTGGCATCTCCTCAGGGTGCCCTGCAGGTGAATGCAGGCTCATTGCTCATGTGACTCTGGCCCCAGAACAACCTCTCAGGTGAGAAACATGTTGTGCATGGCAAAGGATTGAAGTCCTGTTCCCACTCTGACCCATGGGATGCTCCCATAGCACAGACACCCTGGCACCTCATGCCTTGCAGCTCTGGCACAAGCAGCTGCACTGGGGATGTGCCAGCTGCCCCCAGCCCCATGCCAGGACACGCAGCCCCCAGCTGCTGGGCTCAGCTGTGCTCTCTTGTGCTGAACCCTGTGTCCCAGAAGAAGTGGCTGGAGGAGGGCCATCTCCCTGACCAGGCCCTGAAGGAAAGCAGTGGTTGCAACTCTGAGCTTCATTCGGGTAGAAGCAGTGGTTCTCAGTGTGAGGAGACTGCAGGAGGAGCTCTGGTGGGGCACAGGAGCAAGAAATATTTGTTCCCACCTCTGTCTGCTGCACTCTATCTCTTCCTCCCGTGCTCTCTGAGGTGCATCCCCCGTTCTCTTGCAGGGTTTAACGTTGAGTTTGGGGAGCTGATGACAGGAGGAACACAAGCAGCCCGACGTGGGGCTGGCTGTGCTCCATGCTCTGCTGGGCACAGAAACATGTTTTCAGAGGCGCGTTGGAAAATTCACAACTTTACTGTTATTGTTTGAGGGCTTGTGAATTGAGTGAGTGTTGCTTTCGATGTTGGCTTATTCATCTGGGAAAGCATGTTGTTCTTTGCATCTTGCAAGTCTGTGGTGATTGGGAGTGAAGAGCAGAGAAGTTCATGCTTTTCATGCCAGCTTTCTGTTCTGTCTCTGCTTCCCCAAGATGTGGACCTGTTTGTATCTGGGGTTCTGGGATCGCAGCAATGGGTTAAAAGGATCCTGAGTGAGAAGTGGAAGCCCTTCTGACCTGATGGTCTTTCTGGTCTCTGCCCATGGCCTCGCTGCCCACATCTCCCATTGCTGTAGCTAGAAAGGTAGATGGGGGTGGATGATGTGAGTGCTTGGAGCTGTCACCCGAAGCAGAAGCTTGACTTGTGCTACAGCCACGTCTGGATGAAGCACATCTCTGTGCTGTTGCACAGTGATGGGTAAAGCAGTCTGAAATGTGCACAGGAGTGCAGCTCTTATGGAGTTTTCTCCCCCTCTGGGACATCTGTGTGGGTGCCAGGATCCCTGAGATAGCAGCAAGCTCCCTTCTGCTGCAGGAAAAGCACAAGGACTTCAGAAGAATGAAACAATTCAACTTTTCCATTCTTTTATTTTTCTCCAGCCTGGACCCCTAAGGCAAGCTTTGTCCTTAGAACTTTATTTTTCATATAAAAGCTCCATTAGAGTTAGCTAAAAAAAAAAAAGAGAGAGAGAGAAAGAACTTTCCAATCCACAGAACTCGTGAAGGACATCTCCAAAAAACAGGGACCCACTGCAATCTGCTGGGGGCACTGCTGGGGGCACAGCCCCAGTTGTCCTGCATTGGTCATTAGGGAGCCTTGCATTTGGTGTAGATCTGTAGGGACAATGCTGAGCACAGAGGCAGGGTTCAGAGGGACCCAGGGGCCACTCGCACAGCAGCCCTGCCACAATAAAGGGGTCAGGCTTGTGCGGATCAACAGTGAGTAATCATTTCCAGCTCCCTGAGCTGCACAGCCATTTAACTGTATGAGGAGATTAAAGCTGCAGGGAAACGTTTCCTTAAAACCAGCTGACACATTTGGGCTAGATTATGAGTAGTCTTTTTTTTTTCTTCTTCTTCTTCTTCTTTTGCTGCTGTTGTTATTATTTTTAACAGGAAAAGCGCCTACAGCCTGAGATACCAAATGGAGAGGCTGAATGAGAAACACAGAGTCCAAATCCGCGTGCTCAGGGCAGGTGCCAAAAATGAGATAATCTGGAAAAATGGAGTCCTGGAGGAGCAGGGACTTGGAAGGAGAGCATGTGAGGAGCCTGCGTGCGGAGGGGATGCTTGTGTCCCATCACAGGGACGTGTGCTCACGTGCTGGGTGTCTGCATGGGGATGGCAGCAGTGCATGCCCATGTGTGAGCAGCTGGGGTAGCTCATCTGGTCTCATTTTGGGCTGTATTTGGAGGAGGAAGGAGGCTGGGTGATGTGGTTGTGCCGCACTGCTGTCCATCCTTGACCATCAGGATGTTGTTCCCAAACGTGTGGGCTGCTGTTCAGCTCAGGTCATTGCCATGCGAGACCCATTGGGGATGTAGGATTTTCTTTGGAGACAAATGGCAAACAAACGGAGAATTCACTGTCTCTCTGGAAGTCCCCGAGGGCCTGTAGGAAAAGCAGTGATCTCACCAGTGGGGGTTCATCGTGCGAAGTAGTGGATTCCCATCGGAAATAGGACTCTTCCCCCTTCCCTGCCCTGCCCTGTCTTCTTTGAAGCCGGATGAGGGTGAAACTGTGGTTGCTGAGAATCAGAGAAATCATGGCCCTTCCCCTTCTCAGCTGGCTCTGTGCACGAGGCCATGCATCCATGTGCTTACTCCCAGAAGCTTGCAGGGACTGCATAAAGGCTGAGCTTCCTGGCCTGGGAGAAAGCAACCAGGTGTGCCTGGCGACATGCTGCTGCAGTGCTGGTCCCACATCCTGGTGGGGTCTGGGCTGTGAGCCCCATGCAGGGCCCTTCCTGCTGTATCCAACCTTCTGCCGGATGTGCAGCTCTGTCTGGGAGCAGTGGGTGTCATGCACAGAGCAGACCAAGGGGTTGCTGTGTTTATCTTGTGGTATCTGTGTGTCTGGAGCCCATAGTGGTTGTGCTCTGGAACACACTCCCCGCCCTACAACTCCTTTGGCATCCTCCAGCTTTCTCACATTTGGGTTAATCATCCCACAGGCTGATAAGGCAAATAAAATCCGTTATCTTGACCAAGATAAAACAAAGAGTTTGCTTTGATCTCTTACAGTAAGGGCTGGCCGCTGGTTGTGTGGCTTCTCCCTGTTGGCTGGGGGAGGTGGTGGCAGCAGTGGCGATGAACCTTCTGCAAGGAATAGCTTTTCTTCTATGCTATTTCTAGATTGTGTCCCAGCCTGAGATGTTTCTGTTGGCCAGTGGCTGGGAGGACACCGTAAGCTGGGTACGGTGCCAGCGCTGTAAACTCTGTGAGAGGAATTGAGGAACTGAATGGAGATTATATGGAGATTACTTTGTTTGGAGAAGATCAAACACTGTCGTGTCCAAAGCAGATAACTTGACAGCAAGCCAGTTGTGTTCTCTACTCCTCCAGCAAACAAACAGAGCCGCAAACACTTTTGCATTGTCCAAGATGTTGCAATGGAGTCGAAGTGAATGTGGCTATAAATGGAAGAAGCAGCTCTTCTTGGATTGCAGCCTGTGCTCAGACTCCACTGGACCCAGTTTTTCTTCCATCTGTTACAGCTTTTAGAGGAGGGACTTGGGGAGAGGGCTGCTTTCCTTCAGGTTTGTAGGCCTTTGTTTCATTTGTCTTCTGAACAGACCTGGGAATAGAAGTTACCTGGATTTCTG